GCCAATAAAGCCTTTGCTGTGAGTTTTCTCACCTCTTTCCCTTACCTGCTATAGTGGTGCTGTCCCCTCCGTACCACTTAGTCAGGTGTGCGTGTGCATGCATACAGGTGTGAGGGCATTGGTGTTTGAGTGTGTGTGCATTCGTGTGTGTGTCTAAGGGGACCCTTGAGGAGCTGTGGTACCAGGCCAGTCCTTACTTCATGGTCAGGTAGCTCTGTTTGCCTGGCCTGGGACCTGGGGATGTGGGGTTTGTGGGGCAGACTTGAAGGATTCAGCCCTTGCTCAAAATGTTTATATTTTAGAGTCAAATCAGTTTTCGTTCATGTAGGAATTTTATATTTGCCTGTCATAATTTTTTTAAGAGAGATTTTTGCAGTTGGGCATGTGTACTCACCAGAGAGACAGAAAGAGACAGAGAGACAGAAAGCAAGAAATCACGCTCCGGGGGGGATGTCCATGCCGCAATCCCTTCTCCTCCATTCTCCTCTTGGGATCTTGGGCACACACGCACACGCACCTGGTGAACCATGGTCAGCCATGTGGGAGTCCAACAATGCAATCATTCTGCCATCTGCTGGTCCCAACCTGTCATCATTTTTAAAGTCAAAGTAAGTAGCTCTTACATTGTCAGTACTACCGTGAGAACTCTTGGTGCCGAGCTGAGCCAAGCCTGCTGACGTTTACTGAGCTCCAGAATGCATGGGTATATCTGTTTGACTGGCGCCAGGTACCTCTGGCTCCGTCTTCCTTCTCATGGGATCATTCCCACAGCATGGTCACCTGTGTATTATAATGAGGAGAGAGTGAATCACAAGGAGGAACCAAAGAGCCAAGTGATCAGTCTGTTCAAGGCATTCTGTTTCCATATGAAGGTGTGAGGTCTGGGCCATGTGGGCACATTGGTGGCACCTGCTGGTTGGGGTCAGGAACAGTGCCTGTCTTGGTCCGTTTCCTGTCACTCTAACTGAATACCACAGACTAGGTCGTTTCTGAAGAGTAGAGGCTTATTTATTATTTAGCCTATGGTTCAGGAGGCTGGAAAGCCCAGTGTCGATGTGCTGCCGTCTGGTGAGGGCCTTTCCACTGCTGCATCCTGGCATGGCAGGAGGCGTCATGTGGAGATCCAGACAGGCCTAGGCCTCCATCAGCTCCTCTTAAAAAGCCACCACTCCCGTCATGGGAGTGGGAGCACCACTCTGATGACCTTGCCTAATCCTGATCATCTCCCGAAGGCCCTGCTTCCAAATATCATCATCATATTTGGGGGCCAACTTTCCAGCACTTGAAATCTGGGGGCTTATTCAAACCATAGCAGTGACTGGCGTTCTCAGTGTGTGGAGTATTCTGTAGGATTATGTATGCATGCATGTGTGTGCACACGTGTGCACAGAGGTCTATGTGGAGAGTGGCCAGATCTGACCTTTAAACACATGTAGAAATGTGTTTTTTGGGGCTGCATCAGTCAAGACCACCAAAGACCCTGTTTTTCTCTACTTCTGTGTCTTTTTGCATTTGTTTTTATGCTTATTTCTAATCCATAGCCGCCCCCCTCAAAACACATGTTCTGCCGTGCAGGTCACGGCAGATAGACATGGGGTGGGAGAGGGCCAGGTGCCAGAATGAGCTCCTCAGAAGACAGAAACAGGACTGACCTGCTGGGATGTCCCAACCATACCCTACAGGAGCAGAGGCTGAGGCCAGGTGTCAGGAGAACGTGCAAGTTGAAATGTGGCAGCGGCCTTCCCTGGGCAGTGGCTGGCTGTGGTTGGAAGTTTAGGCCAGTGAGCAGCATCTGACTCACAGGACATCTGGGTCAGAGTCACCTGCATGCCTTTCTCTCATTGCCTTGGCTTTTTCCGTCCAAACAGGTCTGTTACTTTGTAGAGGACACGATGGGTTGGTGCAAGCCTGCTTTGTCTCACCTCACCGGCGGTGGTACTGACCTGACCGGCGGATGAACAGACAGTTAAGAAAACGGCTCACGTGTCCCTCTCCACAGCTTCTGATTGTGCAGGCAGTGTGGTGGATGGGACTAGGTCCCATGGGGGTCTCCCTACCCCTTGGCCTCTGAGGCTCTGCACAGGTCCAGGAGTTAGAACTTGAGAAAATGTCACCCGGGTGGGAGTCCTCAGTGTCAGAGTGCAGTGTCTAGTCCCCACTTGAGACCTGGGAGGTGGTTGGGGTTGGTGCCAAGCTGTGAGCTGTCGTGCCCATAGAGGGTGAGAGCCATTCTTCCCTCCCGGTCTGTCCGGAGTAACGGAGCAGCGAGGTCAGTGCTGAGCTTTGTGTTGTGCATCTTGGGGAATGATGTCACTGAGCCTCAGCTTTAGGGGTCTCAGTGGACCACGGCATGGACATGCTCTGATTGAGGGATGTGAGAGCCCTGAGGAAGGCTTGGGAGACAGGTCCTCCTGGAATACGCCTCCTGGAATAGCTGTATTCCTCAGGCCTGGGCAGGAACCCCTCTCACCCGCTCTGGCTCCACAATATTCATGTGGAGCAGGAAGTGACAGGAAGGGGTTGGGGGAGGTGGCCATCCTGATGTACGCTCTGAGGTTGTAGGCGTGGTCCCTGCTGCAGGAAGCACCTGTGTAGGGGCTATAGGAGGAGCCCCAGATGCTCAAACTCTCTGCTCTCGGACAGGTGCACCGGCTTGGCCCCTGAGGCCATGACGCCGGGCAGACCCCGGACCTGATTCACAGTCTGTGAGCCTGTGGGAGGCACAGTGCTCTCTTCTCTCCATTTGGTGCAGTCACAAGTGACAGCGAGAAGAAAGGACGGGGAGCCTCAGCAACATCATGTTCTAAGATTTCGAGTCAGCCTTTTCTGGCTGGGACTGGAGTGGGCTGGCAGAGGAACAGCCTGGGTTAGAGCAGCTGCTTCCACTCTGTGGAGCCAAAGTGCCTTCACTGGGAACCGCTTCTTGGAGGAGATGGGAAGCACTGAGGCCTGGGAGATTTAGGTGCATCTGGGGCTCCTCCTCCAGCCCCTACACAGGTGTTTCCTGCAGCAGGGACCATACATGTGTCCCTTTAGTCCTGCTGCCCTCAGGCCAGTGCCCATGGTCCTGCCCATGAGGACTGGGGGAAAAAAGGCCCTGATACTGGGATCCAGAGAGGCTGGCCAAAGGAAGGTAATTCCAAGGTGTGCCGAGCTCCAGCGTCCCAGGCTGGCCCTGGGTAATAGGCACACAAAGGGAAGCATGACCCAGCGGAGACTAGCACAAGGTTTGGCCACCTCCTCTGGGCACAGTATCTTCCCGACTGGTCACAGCTTTTCTACTAGGTGGCCCATGAACCCAGCAGACATCAGTGCTCAAAGACCCAGGGTCAGGAGAAGGGTTGGGAGTGAAGAGTGGATGCATCCTGAGGATGGCTGCAGAACCCTGGATGCCCCTGAACCCCCTGTCCGAGCTGTTTGTATACTCTGAGGAAGGCTGGCAGGCTCACTGCTGGGTTGCTGGGCCACAGATGCACAGAGTTCAGCATCGTAGCCCGTCCCAGCCTGTGACCCTTGATGTGCTCACACCATGTGGCACATCTACACCTGCGCTTCAGCCCTGGCAAAACACTCAGCTCCATCTTTAGAGAATTTGCTCCATGGGAGAGAGCAGGGTTGGTAGCTATACAGCCAGGATGGGCCTGGCCCCTGTCCCCTGCCTGGCTCAGGCTGCCCTGGACTGCCCTGGGAGGCTGAGCACACGTTACCTTTTAAGGCGAAGATCTGCTGTGAGAAGCGGAATAGAAAACATTTTCCTGGCATTCGGGAAGCATTTTTCTTTCCTCTTTCTCTTAAAACATTAGCAACTTTTCAAAACAGAGGAAAGGGGGGGAAGGGACAAGGTCAGGAAGCCCAAAGACCTTCACCCCATTAGCACCCTGCATGGTGGCCTCCATGAGGGCCGGTGGAGGACAGGGACTCAGAGCTCCAGGCCAGGCTGCCACCCAGTGCTGTGCATCTTGGCCAGCCAGGAGGTTGGGTGACCAACTTACAGCCCAGCCTGATTCCTGTATGAGGCCTCAGTGGCTTTCATTTGGACCCCAGGGGCAACAGCAGGCTGGCCAACTGGAAAGAGCTGGGAATGAAGAGGCTTGTTTCTCCTTCCCTTCCAAGGCACTGAGTCCTAGAAGGTGCTGGGTGCCCCGGTTTGCTCACCTCCACCCTCTGTTTGTGAGGACGCTGCCAAGGTGCAGTGGAGGCCTGGAATAGTCACACCTTCAGCACCAGGACGGTGTACCCGAAGAGGCCGCTGCTTCCGGAACAAGTGTGGCCTCGGCCTGGTCTGACTTCTCCCTTTCGGGGGCTGGTGCAGTTTACGACTGCCTTGAAAGTTATGATCACATATGATCCCTGGTCAGTAAGACTTCATGACAATGTCGATTTATAGTTGTTTTTTTATTTTTTCAGAGTTTTTTGCTTTAAGGTGTATATGCTCGGCAGAGAGACAGGAGTCAGAGAGACAGAAAGCAAGAAATCGTTCCCTGGGGGGATGGCCATGCTACAGTCCCCTCTCCTCCAGTTTCCTCTTGGGCTCTTGGGCATGCATGCACACACACCCTGCATGAGTTTTAAGCCACCAGGTCCAAGACTTTAACCACAGTCAGCTGTGGGAGAATCCCATGTTTTAACCACTCTGCCACCTGTTGGCATCAATTTATAGTTGTTTTTAAAATCGTGATCTTTAGGGACCAACCAGAGCCATGGTAGGTAGGTGGCTGGATCCCACATGGCCAACTTTGTAGTTCGGTCCCAGACCAGCAGCTTGAAAAACATGCTGGGCACATGTGCGTGCATGTACCCAAAGTCCCAACAGGAGAATGGAGAAGGGACTGTGGGGTGGCCATCCTCCCTAGGGGTTGTTTTCTCAATTTCCCCCTCTCCCTCTTTCTCTCCAGGAAGCATACCTGCTCTCTAGCCAAAAAAAAAAAAAAAAAAAAAAAAAAATTACCATTAAAGAATTGTTCAAAAAGAACCAGACAACAGCTGCGTTATTGGGGATGTTTACCTTCAGTTTCTCAAGTTTTCCCAGGAGCCTTCAAATGGAATGAGAATCCCAAGTAGATTGGTAGGCTGCAGCCTCAGGCCTCACCAGTTGTCCTTGCAGGTTGCCCCACACCCCACTTCTTGACCATAAAAGTGGACATGGTTGTCTGTTGGGCCAGACTGACCAGGACCACTTCAAGAAGTCTGAGGTCCCTTCCTGTAGAGCTTACTGTGAATGTGTCAGATCAGAGATGTCTTTGCCCCTAGACGTGCATTTTGTGTGGCACAGTCTTTGCTATGTGATGAAGACAGTGACTTTGGCAAATGAGGCTCTGGCCGAGGAGCTTGGGCCAGTGATCCCAGGCCTGTGGGGACTCTGGCAGTTCTCCTCCTCCATAGAAGTGATCCATCTCTTTTGCCTGCTTAGATGCTTGTCATTGGAGGAGTCCAGGTTCTGGGTCTCTGCACTGGCACCAGCAGTCAGGGGCAGCTGGCCTGGACGTCAGGATCCCTTGCTGAGAAAAGGGTGATGTCTCAGGACCAAATAGCTTTCTTCTGTGGGTCTTAGCTACTTTCTCTATTCAAATGAAAACAGACATTTTAAAAATATGTATTTATTCCTTTAAAAATAGCCATAATGGTAACCAGCAGTTAGCGTAATGGCTATGTCGCTGGACTCCCACGTATTCGACCGCGGTTCACGTCCTGGACCTGGTGGCTTAAAACTCACACCGGGAGCATGTGTGTGCGTGCCCAAGATCCCGAGAGGAGAATGGAGGAGAAGGGATTGCGGCGTGACCATCCCCCCTGGGGGGTGATTTCTCGCTTTCTGTCTCTATGTCTCTCTCTTGTCTGGCGAGTGCATGCTCCTTATAGCAAAAACCTCGCCAAAAAAAAAAAAATTAGCCATAATAAGGCAACCATGTATTAACATAGCAACATATTTCTATGAAAAAAAAAATTTCCAAAGCAAGAGAAAAGTTGAGTGAAGAAAGTGGCAGTTTCTATCTATGTCCGAGTGTCCGCGAGGCCTGGCTCCTGAGTCCTAGAAGGACACCTGAGTGCACATACCTACCTCTGCCTTGCCTCTCTCAGTACCAGAGTCCTGCCTTATGCATGGGAAGGGACATGAGTGAGCAAGGCAGCTGGCATTTGCCTAGTGTGGAGACCCTGCTGTGCTGTGCTGTGACCTGCTTATGACAGGGATCTTGATGTCATGGGCAGAACTTTGGCACCCTGAAGGTATCCATACCACTCTGAGACTGTGCCTTCCACTTGGCCAGATGCCAGGCAGCAAGCAGGAGTGCTGCTGTGGGCATTCAAACCCCTGTGAGGTTTGTGTCGGCAAGCCCTGAGGGCAGCAGTATTAGTAAATGCCCAGCCGGTGTTGGTGGGGGAGGGGTGTCGCCAGTCCAGCTGCCACTTGGGTTGCTCAGCAGAAAGTGGCAAAGGACCTGGTGATGTTGTACTATGAGAGTCCCTTCTCCAGCCAGCCATATCTTTCAAAAGGGAGTCTCCCTTGCTCTGTGGTGCCAGAATGATGGCAAGTTTGTCTCTTCAGGGATGGGCTCAGCCCCTGAGGCCGCCCGTGGTCACCCCTGTTCTGAATCTTTGTTGGAACCGTGCACCCTCATGGAAGTGTCATGTTTCCTGTAGTTGAGGGTGAGCCCTTTGCTGTATTTCACAACCAGGTGATAACAGGAGACATCTTCCCATAGCCTGCTTGGAAGTGCGGTGAGCCTCAGCTCAGTGTTGGCAGGCAGGAAGTGCTTGATGAGTGTCGGGCTGCAAGAGGACACACACCTCTGCAGTGGGCGAGCCTTCTAGTAAAGTGGCTTTTGGCTTTAAAAGCTCTAAATTGTGGGGATCATCAGGGGCTGAGCTGAGTGATTCCAATCCTTTGGTCTAGCCAGGGGTTTGTGTCAGGAGCATAGCTGCAGGGCCACACTTACACTAACCCTGGGGCTGGGGTGCACAACAGGGTGAGCTGTCCTCATGTAGCCACCACGGAGGTTCCAGGCTCATGCCAGCCATAAGCCTGATGTCTTGGTGTCCTGCTGGCACCGTGTAGGCAGGATGGCTTAGCTGCTCAGGCCATGGCCCTGACAGCCTGACGGTAACCAGGAAGGCCGCTATGCAGGTTAGCTTCCCACCTGGCACTCCCTGGAGCAGAGTCACACCCTTGGTGTCCCACTGAACACTGGCAGAGATGGCGAGATTCCCCCAGTGGAGTTCTGGGTGGCCCCCCTTCACACCTACACTTGGCCGTGAACGACCTCATGAGAGGTCAGGATCATCCTTAAAACCTGCTGTGGTCTGGGTATGTGGTAACCACTCTGTGCTTCTCTATTGGCAGGAAATCTAAAGCAAAGCCCAACGGTAAGAAGCCTGCTGCAGAGGAGAAGAAGGTGTATCTGGAGCCTGAGCACACCAAGTCCAGGATCACCGACTTTGAGTTCAAGGAGCTGGTAGTGCTGCCCCGGGAGATCGACCTCAACGAGTGGCTGGCGAGCAACAGTGCGCGGGCTCGGGGCCGGGCAGGGAGGGGCTGCAGGGCTGTAGCTATCAGAGAGTCAGCCACCCTCCTCTGCACCCTCTCTTCTCCTTCCTCCATTTCCTTCTCTTCCTTCCCCCTTTCCCCTCCTCTAAACCTCTCCTAATCTTATCTTGGAGGAGCCCCCAGAGCAGTTGCTCAGCAGCCCCATCTGCTGGCTGGGAAGAGTGTGTGCGGCCCATGGGTAGGCTAGAAGCAGAGGTAGACTGGATGATCCAGCCATGGTAGTTTTCACATCTGGCTTGTTCCCTTTCTCTTTCAGCAACTACATTTTTCCACCATATCAACCTACAGTATAGCACAATCTCAGAGTTTTGCACAGGAGAGACATGTCAGACGATGGCCGTGTGCAACACGTGAGTAGCTGTCCAGCCCTTGGGAGATTCACATGGGCCCCTGCTATGTGGGCTCATGTCTTACCAGACTCCGCACTCATCTGGAGTCCCTGAGTAGTCTCAGGTGGGCCTTCTTTCACCATGCCTTCCATCAGCCCAGCTTCACTTGTCCCTGCTAAGGCACAGAGGTGCCCAGAGTTAGCAGAGGTTAATAGGCTACAATTCCAGGGGGACAGAGACATTTCCAGAGGAAATGCCCAGGTTCCTGACTATGGAGTACTGTGATGCAGAAGGTACTTCTCTGTATCAGCTCCCTCAAGTTCTTGGTATGCCGAGAGAGGGGATTCATGAAGGGCTGGAGGGTGTGGACATTGGCTCATTTTATTGGATCCAAGATGTTTTCATGGTGTCCTCCCAACAGGCCAGTACTAGTGGCTCTGAGAGCCACCAGTTAGGGTTCAGGTACCCATTTGTTTCCTCAGTAAGTAGGTGCCCCTAGGGGTGTTGCAGCACTCACTTGCTTCGTGTGGGTAGGAGAGCTATATGGTCATGGACTTGCTACCAGTTAGTAGGCTGGAGTGGCCAAGGTTGACTGTAGGCAGGAAGCCAGGCCTGCCAGGGCTTAGCCTGCAGAGTGTGTAGCCATCCATGGAGGCAGAGGCCATCCCTTACAGATGTCTCCTTGCTGTCTTCAGGACACTGCAGGTCAGAGATAGATACAAGCGTGGGAACATGGGTCTGTGTGTATCATCCTGAAAATCTTCCTGCCCACACATGGCTTTCCAGGCTCCTGGCACAGGGAGAACTGGTCCCTAGACAAAGCTGAGTTCTGCTTTCCAGACCCCATGGAAGCCTCAGGATAGGCAGGTGGCAGGTATGCCCTGTGCCTTCAGCCCTCTGGGCCCTCTTTGGAAGGCCTGATGGGTCACAGCCTGGTTCTGGGTAATGGGGCAAGTGCAGATGACAGCTGGCTCTCCACTCTTCACTCACTCAAGAAGATCCGATGTCCTGGCCAGGCATAACTGGGGAAGTTGGAAGCATTGCTGCAGAGTAGCCCTGGTGGCAGATCTTGAAGGCAGCAAGCATGCTGCTTGAGAGCTGTGTGTCCATTGTGGCTCAGGAGGATGCTTCCTGGCCAAAGGATGTCCAAGGTGTCCTATGAGGCAGGTGGGAAGCCAGTGCCCTCCTCAACTGCTCTGGTCTTGTGTGCCCTTCACTACTGGATTTGTTTAACAAAAGGTTCCTTGAAAGAGCACAGGGTTTGGTATTGGGCAGAGCCACACATGGTAAACCAGAGCAATGTGAATTTTCTTCTCTTTGTTCTTTTTGCATATAACCTGTTTTATGGGGTTGTAGATGCATGCGAGTTAATGTTGCATATAATGCCTTCCTAGGGATCATTTGAGACCAAGGGATAGAAACACAATCTAGTTTAGGAAAAAGAGGGAGGTTTGTTGGAAGCCCACAGAGCCATTTGACAGCACCAAGACTAGCAAGTGTGCCCGAGTCACCTGAGGGCCTGCTGGATTGACACACCCTGCATCCTGCCAGTCAGTAGTCTAAGCTTCTGCTTTAAGAAACTAGGAAAGAGAAAAGAAAAACTCCAGTTGAACATAAAGAAGGAAACGATAAGAGTAGCAATCACTAACATTGATTTCTGAAAACAATAAGGGAAGTCAATTAAACCAAAATATGATTACTTGACTAGATCACTAAAATTAATAAACCTTTAGCAGGATAAAAAGATATAAATTATTAGTATAAGGAATGAAAGGGGTATCCTTATAAACCCAGCAGATATTAAACGGATAAGGAAGCATTGCTAAAAAATGAAAAACTTCTGTGTACATAAAACAGCTTAGATTAAATGGACCAGTTCATTGAAAACCACAGAATGACAAAACTCACCCAAACAGGCAGTATGGTGAAGCAAGATAAAGGAATAAAAGGCATCCACACTGAAAAAGAAATAAAATTTTGTTTATACACAACATGGTTTATGAAAACTTCCAAGATTCTAAACAAAATAAAGAATAAATAAATTTAGCAAGATCGACACAAAGAAAGTCAGTCATCATGTACTAGCATTGTACAATTGGAAACCAAAATGAAAACCAGTACACAGGTGTAGAGCTAACAGAGCATTCACAGAAATGTTTGCTGTAGGGCACATGTGCTTGCCAGAGATGTAGAAACAGAGAGACAGAAAGTGAGAAATCACCCCTACCCCAACCCCCCAGGGGATGGCCACACTGCTGTGCCTTCTCCTCTCTTCTCCTCTTGGGATTATGGACATGCACCTGGTGTGAATTTCAAGCCACTGAGCCCACTCAAGCTGCAGTCAACTCTGTGAGCGTTCAGCAGCATAACCTTTATGTCGTCTCCTGGTTCCAAGTCAACTTCTTTATTGAATGCAATATCAATCAAAATCCTAGCAGAGTTTTTATAGATATGCCATCTAATTTAAAAAATTTATATGGATGGGCAAAGTTAATTAAAATAGCGATAATTTTGAAAAAACGAATGAAGCTAGAGGCATCTCTGTAAAACTAATTAATTAAGACAGTGTGATACAAAGGAACAGATACATAGGTTAATGAAACAGACTAGAGAGTCCAGAAATAGACTCACATAAAATGTAGACTTTGATTTTTGACAAAGATGCAGAAGAAATTCAATGGAGAGAAATTGCTATTGAGAAAACTGACTATTTGTATGCAAAACAAAATACATTTACCAAAACGTCATGCCTCGTGTATAACTATAAAACTTGTAACAGGAAATATAGGAGGAAAACTTTATGACTTGGCATTTAGGTAAAGAGTCTTAGACTTGGGACCAAAAGTATAATCCATTTGGAATTTTTTTTAAGGGATTTTTTTTGCAGGACCAGCAGTTAGCATTAATGGCTATGTTGCAGGACTCCATGTAGTCAACCGTGGTTCGAGTTCCGGACCTGGTGACTGAGACTCAACGCCGGGCGCGTGTGCGTATGTGCCCAAGATCCTGAGAGGAGAAAGGAGGAGAAGGGATTGTGGCGTGGCCATCCCCCCTGGGGGGTGATTTCTCGCTTTCTGTCTCTGTCTCTCTCTCTGTCTTTCTGGCGAGCGCATGTGCCCTATAGCAAAAAAAAAAACTCTCCCAAAAAAAAAAACAGAGAATTTTTTTTT